AGAGAGAGAGAGAGAGAGAGAGAGAGAGAGAGAGAGAGAGAGAGGGAAGGAGAGAGAGAGACAAAGAGACAGAGAGCGTAAAATCAATTCTGACCCGGAATTAATTTCTCTTCAGATTTATTATTGTGTTCGCGAGAAAGTGAGCTAGTCGCATAGCAAACACATACAAGCATTGCCTGAAATTTACAGGAGGATATGGTATGTCTGTCCTGCACTGCGACAGGAGAGAGAGTCTGCTTGGCAGCCGAGGGTTTCGGCAATCGACACTGCTTCCTCGAGAACATCGCAGACAAGGTAACGACGATGGCGGCGATTTAAATTACCTTGCTCTCTTTCGCTTCACATGTGCGTCGTTGAATTATTGTCTTCTTTCAGAACATACCGCCGGACCTGTCGCAATGCGTGTTTGTCATAGAACAGGCTCTCTCAGTGAGAGCCCTGCAGGAATTGGTCACCGCTGCTGGTTCAGAGACGGTAACGTATAAGTTCTCTCTGCCTAATAGCGTACACTCTCGCACGAAGATTCTCGTGCGTCTTCAATCTCGCCAGCGAAATTCATTTAGCTTCAGGGAATACTCGTAGCTTCTACTCGACATCTTCGCGCGCCGCAAAAGACATCATCGATTACCCCCTCATTTTGAAGGAGGACTTTCTCGGTAGCGCGTGCAACGAGGTTCGTGCGACTCCCAGCTCGAACCCGATCGCATCCGCGCGATTCTCCGACCATGCGAGCAGTATGATCGTCTACCTCGCGATTAGAAGCCCCTCATATTCCCAAATTAGAGCCGTACAAAACGTACACGCTCGACCTGCATAGGAGTGGGCCATAAAATGCGTGCCATTTAGCTCCAAAACGCGAGAAACGCAGCTCTCAAACAACGACGGAAGTCTAAGAGACGTCCGGATGACGTCCGGAAGGATCACGTTGACGTCTTTTAGACGTCCTTACAATGTCCCCCTTAAACCCCCTCAGGCCTGCTCGATTTGTCCACTAAATAATTCACGAAGGGTTCCTGACACATCGGAATAGCTCTTCTTGAATGCACTCTCGCACGCATCCCCCGCCCGCCAACGCACCGTCCCTTGTCCGTATGATTTGTCGCATGCGCCCAGCGTGTAGTCGTGCAAAGCGACTTCAAACCACGTTTTCTTTCGTTCTCACGATCGTTCCTGTCTTCAGTTGTGGTCTTGTCACTCAAAACATACTAGCACCGTGAGAAAGTTAAAAGAATAAAACAAGGTTATCGCCTAAAAGCTTAACTAAGACCCACCGTCACCGTCAATCGTGATACATCATACGCGCATATCTTCCATTTCTTTCTATATTTCTGTCTCTATTTTTCTCTTTCCAACAAAACCGTATCGACACTTGACGAAGGAGATTCATTGCCTCTTATGTTTCTCTTTGCAGCAGCAAGACAATTTAGTAAGTATAATTTACGTACCGTCTGCGGGGCGCCGTTATGTGTCCGCTCTTGGGTAAACTGATCATTTGTTTGTGTGTTGGATCACGTTGTGATACACGCTCGATCGAGCTTGGGTGAAAATACGAGTCGTTTACTTCGTGAAGGTGGTCTCAGATCAATTTCGATAGTTCGCATTTGCGTGTTTATTTAGCGCTAGTTGGAGTGTGATTCTGTATTGTATTCGCCTGAAACCGCATGAACATGCCGCGTTAATAAGTGAATTTTAAAGTGGGACTTAAACAGTCCAAATATTTAGCGCTAAATACATACGAAGGTAGAGCAAATGTATAATGATAATGGATATAAAGTATATCAAGTTAAATTAAATATATTTTCTAAATTTTTTACGTATACCACTTTCGAAGAGTAAGCAATTTGTATCGTCTCAATGTTCAAAGAATGACAGACATTCTATGTTATTTAGTAGGATTTTGAGAGTAATGTAGCTGTGCTTTAAAGTTAACAAAAATTAGAGCGATATATAGTCTCTCTCTTACATCTCTTTATTCTTTTTAAATATTGAGACACCACTTCACCCATCGATCGATTAACCGATCACTGAGAGATTAATGTTGACATAATATACGTTGAGGCTGTTTTTTGGCTATCTAACATATTAACTATCTACGCTAAAATCGTCTTCAGCAATCTCTATGCCTTCGACATGAATCTTTTATGAGTGATACATGAATCGCGTGAGCCTCGCATCGTAGCTTGACGTTAATACCAACATTTATGGCCTTCTCTTATCAGTACGCTTGTAGAAGTTGTCTAAGGAATTCTGTTACTCTGACAACCATTAAAAATATGTCGTACGATACATAAAGAATAAAAAAAAAAAATTACTATCGAGCACGAAGGGTGGCAGGGACTTTGACAATCCTTTGGTGCTTTACAGGGAAAGGGCACCGGGTCAGGGCACAGGACCTTATTATACGGTAATGCCATATTGCTGCGACATCTCAATAGCGACATGGTAAATTGATACTCTTTGTAATTTCACGCGATTACACGGCGTTAAGCTTTCATGGTTGCATAAATCTATGATCATGCACCGTAGTACCTCGCGTGTCTGTCCACGAGTTCGTCGAACGATAAGCTTGCCTTCGACGTCGGTCTGCAGCAACATTCTCAAGGTACATGAAACATACCCTTATATACCTTAATTACGAGCGAATTCTTGATTTATAATAATCAAAAAACGTTTCGTAAAGTAAAATGAGAAGAAATTTTACCAACAAAAAATCTTTTGGTAACACAGAAACCTTTTCTCCGATTAATTTTTTCCTATTTCTTTTCACGAGTTCTCTCTTACTGTACCGTATAGCGGCTGTTGCTTTCTTTTGCTCCAACGCATTTTTCTGTTAAATATTCTCGCGTCACTGTTTGTTGAATGCAATTATAACTTTCGACAGAATTGAATTGAGATTAAAGTCCGTAGTTGCATTGCATTGCATTGCTGGCAAATATTTCATGAGTCAAGAAGCATGAATGAAAAGAAACACATTTATTCTCGTGGGATTTCTCAGAAACTGTATTCTTTCTCATGCAGGTGAGGCGTGTTGGTGGACTGTACATCCCGCTTCCAAGCAGAGGTCGGAGGGTGAGAAGGTGCGTGTGGGTGACGATCTTATCTTGGTGTCCGTCGCGACTGAACGATATTTGGTAAGTTCTTGACACACAAGTAAGAATAATGGCTTGAAAATGATTTGGCAATAAAAAAATCTTGAAATTCTTTTTGTTCCAGCACACGACAAAGGAAAACGATCTGTCGGTGGTCAATGCATCCTTTCACGTCACTCATTGGTCGGTGCAGCCTTACGGTACTGGTATCAGTAGAATGAAGTACGTCGGTTATGTCTTCGGTGGCGACGTTTTGAGATTTTTCCACGGTGGCGACGAATGCTTGACAATACCGTCGACTTGGAGTCCAACACCTAGTCAAAAGTAAGCTTAGATTAAGTCACACGATAGTGTCTCGCGCAAAATGAAGCATGTACCGTTTGTGTGTATACAACGTTTCTACGTAGAAAAAACAATTTCGTTAGTATAGATAAATTTTCTGTTACCTGAGAACTAGACAAAAACCTCGGTTGCAAAAATAGAAAGATTCCTGTAGAAGATTTCTATTTAATCTATTGCTCCTAATTATCTCAACCGAGTTTTAACGCAACTAAATATTCAGACGAATGTTTTCGGTCACGATTACAGATATATTATTTCTCGTCAGCGAGTTTTTATCTAGTATCTATTTAGTTACATGAATTGAAATGTTTTCCCGTGTAGTTGACAGACGGAAAAATTTATTGTACTACCGCAATGGCTGATTTGTTTGAGTTCTGAGGAAACTTAATCGATTTCTCAGTGTCCAGTTATATAAAAAATTATATTTTTCAAAACTATATGTTCCATTAAGGAAGATATTCTAGCACAGAGTCAGAAATTGGCAAGTTCTCAATTAAAAAAACTATAATGTGTGCAATCAGCAGTTATTAATTAATTATTAGTATAAATTTTATATATTAACTTCTTATTTATCCTTCTTAATATCGTTACTCTTCTTTTGTTATATTCTTTTGTTATATATTTTGTTATATTTTGTTATATTTATACTCTTCTTTTGTTATATTCTTAATATCGTTACTCTTCTTTTGCTGTTATGCTTATCATCCTCGGTCACTGAGCTACGTTATTGGTTATTTCGATACACTTATGACATTATATTCGAAAAATGAGAGAAAGTGAAGATTAGTTTATCTGGATATTTTTTATTTATTGTTTTATAGCCTTGTAATTTACGAAGGCGGCAGCGTGATGAGTCAAGCAAGATCACTATGGAGATTAGAGCTCGCCAGGACGAAATGGGCAGGTGGCTTTATTAATTGGCTGCATCCTATGAGAATCAGGCATCTGACAACCGGACGTTATCTCGGTGTGAAGGAGAACAACGAGCTCTATCTGGTCGATAGGTTAATACTTATTTTTAGAAAAGTTCAAGGGTCACGGTGATTCTTAAGCGGACTTGTGATAATATTTCCTAAATCTACGATTATCTCTCCACAAAGGAATGATGCGACGATTGAGACTTCGACGTTTTGGCTGCGGCAAGAAAAGGACGATCAAAAGATTGTTCTCGAGGATAAGGATCTGGAGGTAATCGGCATGCCGATTATCAAATACGGTGACTCCACTGTTATTATGCAACATGCCACCACGTGTCTCTGGGTATCTTATAAGGTAAGCAAAGAATTATCGAGATCAATTATTGAAAAATAAATTATAAATAAAATCTATTTAAACTCACTTTATTGGTTTCAGCAAGTTTGTTTGAATATTTAGTATGAAAACCGATGGATTTGCACAGTATTAATTATAAAATTCTGATTTAGTCGTACGAAACGAAAAAGAAAGGCGTCGGAAAAGTCGAAGAGAAGCAGGCGGTACTTCACGAGGAGGGTAAGATGGACGACGGATTGGATTTCTCTAGATCTCAAGAAGAAGAATCTCGTACCGCTCGTGTCATTAGGAAATGCAGCAGCTTGTTCACACAATTCATCACGTGAGTTATATATTTTTAAATAACTCATGTCAGTGACACATTACTCTGTGTAAATATATTATTATATTATTTATTTTATTGTGTATATATAATTAGTAAACATTTTTTTTAGAAATATCATAAAACTTCAAAGAAGATTAGATATTCAGTTAGATATTCAACATTAGTAGAAAAAGATTTAAAACATATCTTGCGAAAAATTAGCTCAGTAAGGAAAACGAAAGTGGACCTTGCTAAAATTATCGAATGTGTTTTAGAGGCCTAGAAACGTTGCAAGTAAACAGAAGAGCATCCATGTTTTTTCAAAACGTGAATCTTAACGAAATGGTAATGTGTCTGGAGGACTTGATCAATTACTTTGCTCAACCCGAGGACGACATGGAACATGAGGAGAAGCAAAATAAGTTCCGCGCTCTCAGGAATCGTCAGGATCTGTTTCAAGAGGAAGGCATACTTAATCTCATCCTCGAGGCCATCGACAAGATTAACGTGATTACCTCGCAAGGATTCCTCGTCGCTCTTTCCGGCGACGAAAGTGGCCAAGCTTGGGATCAAATATCTGGATATCTTTATCAATTATTAGCGGCCATTATCAAGGGAAATCACACCAACTGCGCTCAGTTTGCCAACAGCAATCGTCTCAATTGGCTGTTTAGTCGATTAGGATCGCAAGCATCCAGCGAAGGAACGGGAATGTTGGATGTACTTCATTGCGTGCTGATTGACTCGCCGGAGGCTTTGAACATGATGAGGGTAATGGAACATTTCTTGCAATATATAAACAAATTATTTAGCAAACAGCAATATCTCTAGAACTTTTAATTAGCTACTGTCAATGTGTAAATTTCACAGGATGAGCACATAAAAGTGATCATTTCTTTATTGGAGAAACATGGTAGAGATCCGAAGGTATTGGACGTCTTGTGTTCACTATGTGTGGGTAACGGTGTCGCAGTACGCTCCTCGCAGAATAATATTTGCGACTTTCTATTGCCCGGGAAGAACTTGCTTCTCCAAACGCAATTAGTGGATCATGTGGCGAGCGTCAGACCGAATATATTTGTCGGCAGAGTGGAGGGTTCCGCTCTGTACCAAAAATGGTATTTCGAGGTGACTGTCGATCACATTGAACAAACGACCCACATGATGCCGCACTTGAGAATCGGATGGGCGAATACCGCCGGGTAAATTGTTGTACAATCTTTTTTTTAAATCTCTATTTGCATGTAAAAAAAAAAAAAAATATATATATATATATATATATATATATATATATAACTCCCAAAGAATATAAATTTTAAAAATTAAAGTTACATGCCTTTAAAACTTAATCATTAAATTTTGTCATATTAATTTATTATTTTTAACTAAACTAACATTGTATTATTTTCGACAGCTACATGCCGTATCCTGGCGGGGGCGAGAAATGGGGTGGAAATGGTGTTGGTGACGATTTATACTCTTTCGGGTTCGATGGTGCCTACCTGTGGACCGGTGGCAGGAAGACCCAAGTAGTGCAAAATACTACTGAACCCTACATTAGAAAGAGCGACGTGATCGGCTGTGCCTTGGATCTCACAGTGCCAGTGATAACGTTCACCTTTAACGGCACTCACATCATGGGTTCTTTCCGGAATTTCAATCTAGACGGCATGTTCTTCCCCGCCATTAGCTGTTCCTCTAAGCTCTCCTGTAGATTTCTGCTAGGCGGTGATCACGGTCGACTGAAGTTTCAGCCGCCGGAGGAGTTTTCGCCGTTGGTGGAAAGTCTACTGCCGCAGCAAATCCTGTCGCTGGACCCGTGCTTCTATTTTGGCAATATGAACAAAGTGGTTCTGGCCGGCCCATGGCTAGTTGAGGATGATACCGCCTTCGTTCCAGCTCCGGTCGACACGTCGATGGTCAACTTGCCGGCCTACGTTGAGCAGATCAGAGACAAGTTGGCGGAAAACATTCATGAGATGTGGGCAATGAACAAAATCGAGGCTGGTTGGATCTTCGGCGAAGTACGGGACGACCTAAGAAAGATACATCCTTGCATAGTTCAGTTCGAGAGACTGCCAGCCGCGGAAAAGCGTTACGACACTCAATTGGCCGTGCAGACTTTGAAGACCATCCTAGCTTTAGGCTATTATATCACCATGGACAAGCCACCGTCCAGAATAAAAACCCTGAGATTACCAAACGAACCATTTCTGCAGAGCAGTGGCTACAAACCGGCGCCGCTCGATCTGACAGCGATCACGTTGACCCCTAAGATGGAGGAACTCGTCGATCAGCTCGCTGAGAATACACATAATCTATGGGCGAAGGAAAGAATTAGCCAAGGTTGGACATACGGGTTGAACGAGGACTCGGTGATGAGGAGAAGTCCCCACTTGGTGCCCTATCCGAAAGTCGACGAAGCTATCAAGAAGGCTAATCGCGACACCGCTAGTGAGACCGTTAGAACTCTGTTAGTTTATGGGTATATGCTCGATCCACCTACTGGAGAACAGCACGAAGGTGAGACTTTTAAATCTCGTTAAATGCGTCCGTTTATTTTTAGATAGACCTCTGTGCTTTGCAAAATAGTTGTACATTATTTCCAAGAGACCGTTCATGGAATTTACGCTAATATAAAATATTATTAGATATCTTTTGTTGTTCATAATAAATTATCGCAATATGATAAATTATTTTCCAAAATTTTTAATACATTCTGAATGTGGAATAGAGTGTTCGTTATATTAACATCGAGGAAATTTCGATAGCTTTCAGTTTTTTTTTCTAATATGGGAAGTTTTGATAATTGTGTGTATTAATAATGTATTAATAATGTATTAATAATGTATTTATTTTCTGGCATTTGTAGCATTGCTTTTGGAGGCCAGCAGATTACGACAATTATACTTCAGGACTTACAGAGTCGAGAAACATTACGCAGTCAGCAACGGAAAATGGTATTTCGAATTCGAAGTTCTAACAGCCGGCCCGATGCGAGTTGGTTGGGCAAAAGCCGATTGCGCACCAGGAAGTATGTTGGGTAGCGACGAAAGTACTTGGGCTTTCGACGGTTACAATGTAAGTGTTTCCCTTATATTGTTTCCTTTTCGTAACTTGACGATTTTATCGGAAGCTGTTTATACGAAGAATTTGTCAAGACGACTTTTCCAATCGTTAAAAGTGACAATTCTCAAATAGTATTAAATTTTCGGGTTGAACTACAAAAGATATTTAAATGATGGATAAATAATGTAGAAACCGGAAAAAAACATTCTTATTTCTCGATTAAATCTAGAAACATTAATCTTTAGTATATTTTCCGTTGTAAGAAACATTCTGATATTAATATGTCGATGTGAAATTGTATAATACCTCGGATTATTATAGCCACGGAAGGTGAGAACTTTATATAGTGTTTAGAATTTGCTTAGATTTTCTTTACGGATAAAAATATATCAGCCAGAGCTGCGTGTAATCCATACGCGGTAGCCCGTATGAGTTGCAAGTCGAATGTGATATTAACGTAAGCGCCACGTGGCTCTCGTTCGCGATCTATGAGATGCGAATAATCCAAAAGAGTATGAATGTCAGGTGACCAAAGTGCACGCTGGCACCAACGAGTCATTTGGTCACAAATATCAAGTGGGCGACGTAGTTGGATGTTTCATTGACGTGGCAGACCGAACGATCAGTAAGAGTCCCATTTCCCATTTCAAATTAGCCCGATCTAAAGGCCCCACTATACATCTACATTATTCTTCTTCTTCTTTTCTGAGTTTTTCTGGTCACTACTATTGTATTTGTCTCGCTCTATATGTTTCTTTCATGTTGATTTGGTTTTTTTCTCTTGCATCCTTGTCCCAAGACGAATGAAATCGCAAGAGAAATTTCATTCGGCGAAGTGTGGCTTGACTTTTATCAGTGTCGGGGGAATTCGCGGGATTCCCTCGCGCAAGATCGTGCAAGACTCGCGCAAAATCGTACACGACATCGAAGTAGGTATATCAATCAGCGATAAAATACAAATTGTATATAAGGTGCCCCTCTTCAGACCCAACCGGACAACAGAGTATCACGATGTGCATTTTTGTTGCGCGGATATCCGATTACCGGTCTGTGCTAACGATATCCACGAGCGAAAGTGTTGAACTGGTGAACATTTTATTTTAAAGGAGGAAAAAGTATACTCGGGCACGGCCGAAACGTTCGGCAAACAATGGCAGGTCGGAGACGTTGTCGGGGTTTTCCTGGATCTAATTGACCGAACGATTAGTAAGACGGAATATTTAAGCGAAACGCTTCAGCTGCCATTTCAAGCTATACACATAATTTGATATCTGGAGATAGACTACTGGATACAGGCACCGCGATTTTTTAGCACAATCTCAGCCACACACCAGCATTAACCAGATGAACCAATTGTACAAATGTATATACGATACAAAGAACGAGATGAACAATTGTCAGTGTAACTGAAATAATATTCAATTGGAAAACTCACGAGACCACGTATAATTTTGGAACAATTATTCGACACTGACCGCGATGTTCGCCAGTATCGTAACTTGAGATCCGAATGGATATTTGTCAGGCAAAATTTTCGCACTTCGCACTTCGGGGAATAGCATCATCGCGCTTGAGCAGTCATATAAGGGAAAAATCCATCGAGACAGTTGCTTGGACGAAAGAAGCGATCATGCGTCTCTCGTACACAGGTTATCTCATCTCGTCACCGTCATCTTAACAACGTTGGGGTAACCGCAGAACCAGAGATAGCCTGGTTTCTATCATCATTAATAAATACCATGTTCTCGATCGACGAAAATCATGTCTGCCCAATGTCTTCTCCGGTATCCAGTACTCTACTCAGTGTTTATACTGTCAGCGATAACAGCGCTTCCATAATTTCATATTTACTAATCACTAACACCACAGGGTGGCCCCAAAATATACTATATCGATCATATCACGTGCATTCCGAAACAATAACCCCCAAATACAATATCGATACGGTCGTTGTACGAGCACAGAACGTAACGTAATCTCCTTCGGGAAAAATACCAGATATACATTACAACTCATGTTCATCTTACAGACTACGATCAATTGGTTACAAAGCACCACACTGTGTAAATAGAATTATGTCAGTCAGAGAGAAAGTATCGGGAAATATCTCCCGGACAGATTCGAGTCGTTATGATCTTCATTCTTTTTATCTCTCGGCTATATACCTTTGCTTTTTGTTTTATTTTTTATCGTGAAATTTATTATCTTAGTGCATCGTCCGTGTGTGATAATATTACACGTATTTGGTTTTCCATTACACCTCCCTCGAGTAATGCCGCTTGCATGCTTACTTTGTCCAAACTTGAATCAGTGGGCCATATGAACGGAAGTAAGTTCATCGTATATAAATCAATATTCCAATATCTCTAATTAATATTCTTTGGAGAATTATTTTTAATGGAGACAGAAATTAAAGTCCTTTTAAGTCTATTAAATCACTCAGTTCACATGGTCCATTTTAGCACTCGCTTTGCTGTAACTGTTAATGCATTGTGTCTCAAAAATTTCTAATTGGCCGCGTTAGGAATTTTAATAAAATACATTACAAATATATATTTCTTACGCTGCTATAATTTTTTTTTCTTTAGTTTGTGTTTTACTTACATATTTGTATGTATCAAGTAACAATTGGCTTTCACAAATATAATTATAATAATTATGTATCGTCTAGTTGCTCGGTCGTTGGACTTTTATCTCGTTTGCAAGCCGAAACGAATGTCTGACAACTCAACAAACTTGTCGAACAAGTTAAAGATTTTTTTTATTTTTGCATACTTTTTTACTATATTGTATTTTCCGTCTCATTCAACGTTCGTTTCGACTTTTCAATATTCGTTGCAATTACTTTGCTCTATAAATTTGCAAATTACATAGGCTTCTCCTTGAATGGAGAATTGCTGATGGACGCTCTCGGCGGTGAAACTTCTTTCGCCGACGTACAAGGCGATAGTTTTGTACCTGCGTTTACCCTTGGCGTCGGCCAGAAGGCGAAACTAACATTCGGCCAAGATGTAAACACTCTCAAGTTCTTCACCACTTGTGGTTTACAAGAGGGCTACGAACCATTCTGTGTGTACGTAATTTTAATTCGTCAATTAAAGTATCTATAAATAATTCTATATGTTAAATTATTCCATATAGAAGATATATTCTGTAAAATATTTTACAATGCATTTTATAATATAAAGTTCACAATCCATTAAATTTTTGAAAAGCTTAAAATATAGAAATTAATGGCATGTACAAATTTTTCTTTTCACAGCAATATGAATCGTCCGGTAACATTTTGGTACACAAAAGATCAGCCTATTTACGAGAACACCGACGACATGGCCGATACGCGAATCGACGTGGCTAGAATACCAGCAGGTTCCGACACTCCGCCGTGTCTGAAGATTTCTCACAACACGTTTGAGACTATGGAGAAGGCCAATTGGGAGTTCCTCAGGTTATCGCTACCCGTGATATGTCAGTCTAGCTTCGTAACGGAGGGCGAGAAATTGCGGAGATGGCAGGAGATCAAAATGCGACAGAACAGACTTCTAGCCGAGCAAGTTGAGCAAGGACAGCAGGCTGCACCGTCGGCTCATTTGGAACAAATCATCAAATCTGGCTTCAGTATGAGCGATATTAAAGGTAACAATTCAGAAAATACCAATCTTGCATTTTGTAATGTGGCATAAAGTGAAAATATTAGGACCTTAACTTAGTTTCCGCCCGCAAATGTTAGATGGCAATGCAAACAGTTCTAGTAGTCATTACTAACGAAACAGGTAGTTTGTGATTAATTTCGACATTTCTCGATAACATTCAGTCAGCATACACAATTATTTTCCTAAACAACAATTTCTTTTGCTTTGTGAAAAATGGAACGCGATAAAGTGTTTTTTCGACATGTGCTTTTGCACTATTTT